ATAAATACACTTTGATAATTATAATCAAGAAGAGAACACATGCATTACCGCACATATTGAAAATTTCAAATCAATAGCTTCAGATGTGTAAAAGTTGGAATCAAACATCCTCAGACATGTAAATAAATGAAACTGAATGTCTTATAAATTTTATTTCATAAATTCATATGCAAGCAGTTGATATGGTTTGATTCTTCAGGAAATATAAATATAAATCAAATGAACTTTTCCTTATGGAGCAAGGAAACAGCTGAAAAAATGAGCATGAAGAGAATGAAATATCAGCATAAATTTAAATTTTGGAAGAAAAAATCAAAATGTAGAGTTTTTTCGAACTCTTTTCAACCATCACCAAAGCCCCAGGGGTACTCCAATATAATGAAGCACTGCTGAATGCTCATTTTATCATTTAGGGGATGAAATCGTAACTTGCCAGGTTTTAACCTGTGTGGCATCTTTCAGAGGGGTAGGCAACTGGCCCCAAACATGCAAACATGATTAAACTGGATATCAGTTATCAGGTAATCAGTTATATCAATCCTTGGCCTGAAAATGCCAACAATATAAACTCTCTGTGCCATTAATCATATCACTAATATGCTTGTTTAATTTTGATCAATATGGCAATATTTTTTGGTGATCAAATTAGGCCACACCCAAACTCTGTCTTTTAGGGGTTAATTTAATTTTTTGAAGATCATCTCAGCCCTTTTTACACAGGAGTACCCCTCCCCCTCCTAGGTGTCAGAACTCCAGTGTTTCGTGATGAAAAGCAAAGACAGAAATTAGGGGTGGAGGGAGCTAAGGKGGCTGTATTATAGAGACTAATAGTGATATTGTCAAAAGGCAGGGGAAACAAACATTCATTTGATGATTGGCTGGTTGAGCATTAAMCCTGTCGCCATTGCAAATAGGTTAATGACTGGGGATGGAATAGGAAGAGGGCAGGGGAGGTTGGATAGGGGGGATAAAATATAACAGGCAGCACTTAGTGTCTTCTAATARGCCTTTTTATTGAAGTTCACTGGATACCATCATTTGCATCWAGGCATGAACACCAGACATCAAAACATKCTCCAWCTGGCTCYTGAAACTYMTGTTTGTCAGCTAAAATGTCAACTTTCATTGATTTCAAGTGARACTGYCTTTTATGTTGATATTTTAGACATCAAACATACGAGTTGGGGGCTGAGCCTGTCAGAAATGTGTTTTGATGCCTGCTCTTTGTGCTACACTACTGCAAAAAGTTGACATCAAATAATTATATAGCCTTATATAACATAATTTTTATTACAAAACTTAATTTTATTTAAAAAAGTTTGCTAAATATTTCTCAACTACCCCAGAACATCGTATCATTACAAGATCACAATATGCATCAATAGATTAAAGTAGGTGCATTTTAGTTACATTTTTTAAATGCCAAATCCTTGACAGGGAAAGGCAGGGTCATTGTGGGCATCCATCAAGGTGTTTTCATGACATTTCATACATCTATATGCACATACATGCCCTTGAAAACGTTATGTGCATGTTAATCTAACAATGTCATGAGAATTAGCACTAATATTGATTCAATGTCSTCCACCAAAACCCTATATTTTGTAGCAATGACATTGCAAGATTCCATGTACATGTTATATTGTTGAAAACAACTGCTAGTAAAAAAGATAGACTTTATTCCAAAAGACCATATTTTTTATTAGGGATCGAGAGCTCAATAGTTGTTTTAAGGGAGTGATATAACAACATAAAAGGCAACTAAACCAGAAATTTATGATTAAGAGGGATGGAAAATTAATATACAAATTCAATGGAAGGGGACTTTGAATCGCCTTACAATTCTCCTGAGCCACTCAACCATGAATTAATTTGTATCCAGTACAGGCTGGGATTCAAGTAGCCTAAATTGACCTCTTTAGCTTCGGTGTAATGTTTTGCCCATTTCAGGCCAYGTCATTCCCAAGAGTATCRACTTTTCTTTTTTTTAACTGCTGCGCAACATGAATAATCATAATGGATGCTACTCAAAGAATCATATTCTCAAGGGTATGACGTGGTCTGAAATAAGGAAAAGCATTACACCMAAGCATTGCAGACAAATTCAAACCAATGTGAGTCAAAATCAAGAGTCAATTTAGTTGATGATGCTTTAAAATGCATGTAAAACATGCTTGTTATTAGGGCATAATAAGAAAATATAACTGTACTACATTTAAATTAAATTGCACATGACTATTAAATTAGACATTTGAATGATCTATTTTCAAATGCCAAACTTTTTATGATTATGAAGTTAATTTGTAAATATATATTCTGTATGAATGGTATAAATATGTTTATATTTTCATCATTTTTTTATACAAAATGCTTTTCTGAGGAGAAAATCCATAAACCAACAGTTAACTCGATTCATTTACTCCTTATACCTAATGGTTATTTGCATCTTTTTTATTTCAATTATTTATCCTTTTTTTTAAAAAAGCAATTWTTACTCTATGTGATGTTTTAGTATGGATGTTTGGTTAATAATTTAAGGCTATCTGGTTTAAAATCAAAAGTGTTTGGCAAACTAATTCATACATAACACTGTAGTAAAAAAATAATAGGAAAAATATTAAAACAAAAAAATACTACCACTCTTGACTTTCTCACTGAAAAAAGGAAATCATATTCTGTGTCATGCAGAATGTTCATTAGCTGAGAATCTTGCCATGMAAAGAATTTGCATTATACATACTAATCCACATCGTCATTTAAAAGAGATTTATGCTCAAGATGTTGACAAYCATAAGTGAAATCTTGCTTTCTGATAATCATGAGGATCATACATTCTGTCGATACATTTTTTTCGTACACTCTATGTTTACTTATCAGTTTTTTACTCAACTCATTCATGTGATATTTTTAAACTCTTATCTTTGTTAGTATCTTAATTCATGAATACTGTATCATATTCATTAACAGATTTCCTTTCTGGCGCTGTAAATTTTAAACAACTGTCAAAAAATGCACATAGTACATCATGATATTGTACATTATGATATGTATCATATTATGTTCAGCAGCCCATGTAAGAGCTATTAGTAAACCAAGTTGAAGCTAAGAGGAAGTAAAGGACTTTAGATGTTTATCTGATGGATTAACTAATGCCCTCTAGTCCAGAACTGGAGCCACTCTTCTCACTAACTAAATTCATATGTCAAAAATAATAGAAATTGCTGCGCATGCACACAAAAAGAAAACAATTCCTGCTAGTCTCTTTGTGCTTCATGTTTTGTCCTTGCCACACGCACATCCATAAGATGGGTCCAGCTCTGGACTATTCCCTCCTATACWTGTCCTTGTCTTATGTCCACTTACAAATTCAATAAGACATTAGATAGGATTCTTGYGCTGGGTTGGTCAAAGACAGATTACTGCTAATCCAGGATTAAACAAATAACACATTAACCTTTCCATCAATGTTTCAATCATATATGGATATATTTAAAGCCTGACATTCTCATAATAAGCAAGGCATTTGTTATCAAATATTTTGTCTCCTAAAGAAAGGCTTAGAATGCATTGTTGGCTTGAACATCCATACAAMATCTCTCTCAAGAACCCTGGATAAGCTTGTCATTTTTTTGGCCATGCATATTTCTTATGGTCTTATAAAACATTTTCTACATCAAGTACAGTATTAAACTAAAGGCTGTCATCAATCCATTATAAACCTCCTCATAAGCTAGCTTTAAAATATCAAGCCAAAGTCGACCACAAAACTGTATATAAATATATAAAACTAAAGCATTTCTGTCACACATTTTGTCATTAACAAGACAATTCCATTGTTTATCCTGCATGCGAAACAAGAAATTATTTCAAAKAACTAGTTTATGCATTTTACAAAATTGGCTTTCTGAAATAGCAAGCCAAGTTTTTTGCTTATTTTTGAAGGCTTTTGTCCAAAACGAAAAATCCATCCTTAGTAAGGGTTTACAAATTACAAAATCTAACAAAATAATCTTTTCATGTCCCTTGCATTTGGTCTGTCAGATATATAGTCAGATAAGCTAGTGTTTTTATTCAATCAAAATATTAGGAAATATTTCTGAGAAATAAAGTCAGAAAGGGTAAAGTTTTCTGTGCTATTTTTGGCTGCAYACCACATAATCCTAATAGTGGGGGAGGGGTAGGGACACTTCCTTTGTCTTTATGTGATATCCCCCAACTCATAGAAAAGTATCATATAGAGCTAGAGGGCTTAAAAYAATGAGCAGACAATTTCCAATTCTAGCTGGACGTTGTCTGATGGCCTCAGTCATTACTTTAAGCCCTGTAGCYATAATATGCATTCTCATCCTATATACACTTTATACATACATTATAATCTAATTTATCTAAAGTACATATATAACACTCTTAGTTTTAACAATATGAAGTAACAATATTTAAGTATTAAATTATACACCTAACATATATTTTCAGATATAAGTATCTTATATRAATTGTAAAAGATTTTCTAAATTTAGATAATACATAGAGGATATTGTATGGCCGCAAGGAGATATGGATTTTGTCTTCGAGTGTTGAGGTGCTATCTTAGRAGTRAKCACAGTGATCGAGTAAGATWTTCTCAACATGAGAAGATAGAATCAGTATCTCCAAGCAACCATGTAATATTCTGTTAATCAATATATAATTATTGATGAGATACAATTTTAGGGATTTTTACTATTTACTGCRGTTTCCATMATCTGCRAACTCAGACATTCCAACGGCTTGCTGTGAAATGGGTTGTTCATTGCCATCAGTCAAGAACATAAAAAGTACCRACTGATTATTTTTGAATGATGRCAGCGAAWAAGCAGATTTCAGTGTGCAGCTTGCAACTACCAAGTTTACAGAGTATCACTTTTTAGAGAATAYTATGAGAAAAATAGATATTTCATCAATGATTATATATTAGTTTATGTTATTTTTCAATGAAATGGCGATCAACAAAAGATCGGTTAGTGTAAATACAAAAATGAGATTTTTCAGTTTGAATGCCAAAAATCCCAGATTATATTTGTAGTCCTTGAAAGGCAACCTCATTTGTGCTTGGCTTACTGTATGTTATTGATTGTTRTTAATATTTTTTCAATATTATCAATTATTGATCTCCATTCAAAGGTCAAAAACAACACTAATAAACTAGACTAACTCACCATGGAGATAGTTACATTTATTCCTAAGTTCCCATTGTCAGCAAATAAATGAGCAATATTGGCATCAAATACCAGGCAATCAGAATTAAGTATTGCTGATGCAATGCCCTCATGAATACTTCTTGGCGTTGCTTCCCATGCCAGCCTCCTGCGACTGCCATTAAGCTCAAGTCTATAGATGAAACTCTCAGCCTGTTTTCTGGTGCCAATCAGCTGTACTATGGCATAGAATTGTTGATGTCCTTCATATTTTTCTTGTTTTTCCAAGACCAGCATGAAATGATGTCCAAAGCAAGACTGCATCATAACCCAATCTACAGCACCAGGCAGGTTGATATCAGTAGCAAGGAAGACTATATCTTCACCTTGTAAAGTAGTTATAGATTTATGAGTGTGCATTAAATGAGGCATAACAGCGTCTAGAGAACCTTGCCATTTACAAGATGCACCTGGGCAAGGACAAGAATAAGGACGAAACTCACAGGATTCTTCGTGTTCTGCTTTTTCAGTGTGTGGTAAAGTTACTTCACAACCACTAGTAACATACTTACAGGGAAAAGTAACAGTACTAGCGACCTTTTCCATGGCTAAATTACGTATACTACCTAAAGGTCCTCGACAGGTCGGACAACAAGTAAGTTTGGGTCGACAATTTGAACAAACAAGATGACCACTAGAACACTGRAGAATTGGCGGCAGGACAAAATCAAAGCACACAGGACACTCAAATATACTGGTGAGATCGGCGTTACTTGGTCCTGTTTGTGGAACAACTCCGAGTCGTGGTGTTTTTAGCGAAGACTGTGAAACTCCGTTTTGACGATTCATAATGGCGGACAGCAAAGACGCCCACACGATGACAAGAAAAGTTCTCTCAAAGAAATCTCAACTGGACATTCAAATYAGGTCCATTTGTTCGCTAAGATATCAAGCTTACATTTCGGAATGGCCAAATCTCATTTAATGAAAGCATCAGCCAAAGAATTCATAACAAATCGATGGATAATTCTGAAGCCACAATGATCACAAGAACCAGATGCAATATTTTTACTTGAGCCGAGTGACGTCGAGGCTTCGTGAAGACACGAACGGTTTACGAAGGTACCTCCAAGTGATGACGAAACGATACCGAAAAGCCCACGAAAATGCAGAAAGAATTTTTCATTCATTTTTTTGCCCTTAGTATCCCGTCCCTCATTGACATTTCTCTCCCCCACTGTACCACTGAGAGGAAGTATTTTATACGGTCAAACACACTATCAGCTTCGAACACGTTGGGTCGTTATGTCATTGGCATTTCTCGTTTTTCTTTTTATTAGTTGTTTTTTCAGACCGATCCCAACTCCACTACGAAGACCATATCTTAAAAGAAAATTGTTTCCAATATGAGTAATGAAGAAAACGAAGAAAAACAAAGATCTGTTTTAGAACAAGGAAAATTTGGGTACAAATTCACTAACTGGTCCAAGACGTTCTCCTGCAAACCAGAATTATTTTTTGAACCTCGCACAACTGAGGAAATTAAACAGGTTTGAGCCATAAAGACCTTTCAGTTTTTTGGAATTACAGAAAATTTAACTCAACTTTTTTTGTGCTTTCTAGATTTTATTGACAGCAAAAAAGTTGAAGCGTTGTGTTAGAGTTTGTGGAGCTGGCCATTCACCATCAGACATTGTGTGCACCTCTGATTTTCTTATTGATTTGAAAAAATATAACCAAGTCCTTAAGGTGAAAATATAGCATAATTAAGTTTTTACATAATAAATTTAAACGACTTTTTATTTTATGTTTTATGAAATCTCTCTAGCCTTTTTATGGGCCTACCAATATAAATAAAGAGTTTTGCACAACAGAGACATCGAACACCTGCATGCATGCAACTGTGATAGAGTGCATTCAGTCAAACTGTTAAATAGTTAGATAAATGTATCTGACTTAGATAACTATTTAGTTGACGTCACCTAAAATAGTAAAAGCGCGCCAAATAACGTTCATGCTAATCCGGGGGGTTGTTTTACCAGAGAATGAGTGAATAGACATTCGTTTGTATCATCGTTTCTCCCCCTGATCTCAGTAGCTGTTTACTCGTAGTTTCAAATTTAGTTGACGTCACCTAAAATAGTAACTAACTTATCTAATTTAGGTGACGTACACTAGAGTGCATTTAGTCAAACTGTGAAATAGATAAATTTATCTAAATTAGTTAACCATTTAGGTGACGTCACCTAAAATAGTAAAAGCG